AATGGGGGAAACACAGAGACTTTCCTCATCTTTGTCACCTGACGCGCACAGGCTTGGGACAGTTTCAGCAGTGTCAGGATTTTAGACTTGGCAAGAGAAGATTTCCACAACCTGCCCAAAGACTTTGGCTGTTTTCTGCTGTATAGGCGACAAAGACTTTGACAGGAGTTTTTGATGAGGATGATCTTTCCCCACCCCACACAACTTATTCTAGCTGATTGTTGTCCATTGCTGGTGGCTGTAATTATCTTAGTTTTCCTTCCTCCTTTTCAAGATCTTTCTCCCTTGCTGTCCCTTTCCTCCCCTTCTTTCCTCAAGGAGTGGCAGATGCAATGCAGCATCACACAGAGTACCTCTGTTGCGGACAGCAAGCGGTTAAACTTGCAGAGGTGAAGCACATGCAGCCTTGCAGAGGAAGAAAGCTAGCAGAAGAACTGTGCATCAGTGCCCTGCTCAGGCGCTCCAAGGTCCAGCGTGCAAGGTCTCTCCTCCTGTTCATCCTGAGCTCCTTAGGCACTTCTGCAAGTAATCTGTTTCAGATAACATGAGTGAGGAAAAACAAGTCATGTATAAGCTGCTTGAGGCAAGGGGCAAGAATGTGGGTTTGTGTGGGGGAAGAGGGTCTTTTATATCTAAACGTGATCCTGAAGTGGTTTTGTTTCGGTCAGGAGTTTAAGGGGAGGCAGAAGCAGTTTGTGCAAGCTCTGAATTCATAGGAACTTCCCACCATGAGCTATTTCAGGCCCTTACATAGTTGCATTGGAGCCCCTGGGTCTCTTTTGCCCAGCCTCTCATAGAAAGTTGTGCACCTGGTCTGCTGAGTCCATATAGACACTACATACTAGAAGATTTGGAAGCAGAGAGACTGTTTGGGGGGGGCTCCATGACTCCCAAGACCATCCCCCTTCTGCTCTCACGATTTTGCTGTATTTCAGAGGAAGCATTTTTAGATGACAGCGTGAGCTGTGCTGCGATGGGGAGTTGCTGCACTCCAGACCTCCCTGCTCAGCTGCTGGCTCCTAGAGTGCTCCCAGTAACCCCAGCGATCGGAGGCAGGGTCTCTAACCATGTGTTAGAGAAGTGCAGAAGCGCGGTTTTATTGGGCTGCCTCAACTCCCTCAACTGGTACTGGGGTGAGCTCACCGTCCCCGGAAGGGCTGCTTGGAGCGTGGGTTTGTTGGTGGAGCCTCTCCAACTCCTGTCGTACACCTGCTTCTCCATCCACCGCTGATACCAGAATGGGAAACCTGCTGCATTTAACACTAAGCGATGTTCAACAAGCAGATCTCCCAGGGAGGTGTCCTGGCCCAGCCACGCACAACCACGCGTTATTTTTTTTTGCTCTTCCCCAGCGATACACGTAGCCTCTCTGTGCGCAGCAGAGAGGAGGCACCTCAAATGGGAAGAATGGGGAAGCTATTAGTGAAGCTAGAGACCCTGAAGCTATTGATTCTCTGGAGGAATAGCTAGATAAAGGGGACACCAAACTGCCAGCCTGTTGGCCACCTTTTTTTTTTTTTTTTCCTGGTTTTATTGTTGTTTTTTAACTTTTTTTTTCCAAGCCAAAGTTTGGTTTGTTGCTGTTATGACAATTTTTTTGTTGTTTGTATATAAATATTTTAGTTTGAAAATGGGGAGGGGGGAACAGGGTGTTGGGGCTTTCACAAAATCTAGGAAATGAGGGGGACTCGGGGCATTTGAGGTGTTTTACTGTCTGAGTTGGGGTAGGGGAGGGAGGACTTGTGGTAGAAATAGTCATATTCAAGGGGAGCCATTTCCACCGCAGGGCAGCCAGGGGATTTCTGGAGCTGAGATGCAGCAAAAGCCTCTGGACTTGTTCTACCCACCTGTGGGGTGGAGGGGCTGAGTGAGGCCATCCCTTCCCTTCCCCGCAGGCAGCTCCTCACGCAGCAGGTCCGCAGGCGGCGAGCGAGAGGAGCGCAGCTTGCAGAGCCCGGCAGGGGCAGCTGCTCGCCCCTCTGCCCATTTGCTGCCTTTCAGTTCAGCTGGTTCTGACTGCAGCTCCTGAAAAGCTGGGTTCTCCCTCCCCGAGTGCCCTCCCCTGCCCTGGCAGTGCCACCTACAATCCCCCTACCACCGCTTGGCCTCTCTGGGCGTAGGGAGGCCAGCCCCATTTCTGCCTCCGAGCAGAGTCTATGCATGGCAGCTTCAGCCCACCCGAGTATATTAGGAACATGAGGGGTTTAGTGCAGAAGCGCCCAACCTTTGCGGGGCTGTGGTCCCCTGCTGTATGATCTCTGAGTAATACCTGCTCTAGACCATTCAGCCTGATTCCTCCTGTATCCGAGCCCAGCCTGCTCCGGTCGCTCCCTGCCAGGCTCCTCTGGTGCATTAACCAGCTGGTGTCTCCTCAACTCCATAGTTAACGCTGCAAGATCCCCGCTGAGGCAGCCTGCTGATAGCCCGGCTTCCTGCTCTCAGCAATGAGCTGCAGAGGGGATGCTGGGACGCTTGCACAGCTTGGGGCCGGAGGTAGCTCACTGGTTCCAGGTCTCCGGAGCACCAGACCTCCCAAAAACTTGCATACCAGCTGGAATTTTGCAGCGAGGTTTCTTGAGTGAGTGTTGTGCCGTGGCAGGAGAGCTCTTCAGCCTTTCTTCCCTCTTGGCAAACAACAGCTCTGGTTTCACTCAGATGTGTTATGAACTGGCTTGAGATGCGTTCAGAGTAGCCAAGCTGTGGCTATATCCATCTTCTGAAGAAGTGAGGACAAAGCCTATATCTCCCTATGCAAAATGAATTACACTTAATGAATTAAACTGGGCCCTGGCTTATTTGACTGATGGCAGCTAGTGCTTGTCCCCGAGATGGGTCTGCAGTCACAGGTCCCTCATAAAGCAGGGCTTGGCTTTCCGAGGGAAACCGCGCAGGCAGCCTGGCAAATAGCTTGATGTTCGTCACCTTCTAGTCTGGTGGCATCCGGGATTTCTCTTGTTGTAGAGGAAAAGATGTTTCTTTAAGTGTTGCTGTTTGTACTGTCTTGCAATAGGTCTGGTCAGCACATGATATTATACTGATAAAATTTTGGATTGAAGCATTGATTTATTTAATGTGCTGGTCTGTCTTTCCTTGTGGGTACAGTTGTGCTGGTACGAAGATGACTTCTACTGGTATAGCATATTCTTCACTGGGAATAAGTTATGTTGATGCCCAGCACGCTAACAAACCGCTGTCACTGTCCCCGTGCTAGGGAGGCTGCACTGTTGTAGGTGGGTTAGCTTTTCTAAGAAAAGCCATGACGGGACCCGGAGACAACGGGGAGCTCAGTATGAGCCTGCTATCGCCAGCTTTTCCTTCCCAGGTTAAGCAGTTATGTGGATCCTGTGTCATAAGTTCAGATAGACAAAGCCATGTTTTAAAATAGCTGTGGCTTGGCTGTTTCAGTGCCCAAGAGACAGCAGACTTGCCCAGCGAGAAAGAGCGCTAACTCAGGAGTCGGGAGACCTGTGTTTTGGGCAGGGCTCTGTCAGTGATCCTCAAGGGTCATCGTGGAGCAGTCGTGACACTACTCTAGACTTGGCTTCCCCGTCCCTAAAGCGAAGTGGAAGTTTATCCCCTGTTCTTGCCCATTTTGAGATCTGTGAAGTGCATAGCAAGAGCTGAGGAGGGTTATCTGAATAGCTGACTCGAGTGCTAGTTGTGAAACGGTTAATGAAACCATTTCCTTGCCTGAAAAGAGACGCAGCCAGCTGGCTGCTGGGGTTTCAATTCCGGCACCGGGGAATACAAAGCAGAGCCTCTCAGTTCCTATCCACATTTTTCCCCAACCTGTCCCTATCTGTATCTTCCCATCCTGGCCCCCAAGAAGGAGGCAAGTGGAGAACAGGTTTGGGGAGCGCTTAGGAATTCAATAAAGGGAAACCGAAACAACAGCTTTGGGGAGCGCTTTTGCTGAGTCTAGCTCCAAAGGGAAAGCACGTGGGCAGCGTGGCAGACGGCCTGCTGCCTGTGCCCCTCCAGCCTGGCAGGGTCAGGGGAATGCTGTTCTTGGTGCAGAGGGGTGATTTTTAAAGTGTATTACCTGTTTGCACTGTTTTAAAATAGGAGGGGGGGGGGGGAAACCCAACCTAGTGAACAAGATGAACATCCAATGTAAACTTCTTTGTGTTTTTATTTTGTCATGCTCTTGGAAAATGTCAAACATTTTGTAGTATACACCAGTGAGACTTGATTCTTTGTTGCATAAAACACTATTTTTGGTGATGTTAATGTCTGAAAAGCCCCTTCCCCTCCACCCCCACCTTACTGATTGCACTCTCCGCCCTCCAACCCCGGTAAACTTCTCTTCTGCAATGAAAACTCCAGTCAACAAGGCAAGCAGGGGTCTGATAGCCAGAGTGTGAAATGGGGCCCTTTTCAAGTAGGCTCTGGGGTTTCTCCCCAGTATGCTTTACTCTAGCCAGGATTTGGCAGGATAGCCTCCATCCCACTGCAGCGTGGGCATCGATGGCAGCCTAAAGGGGGCTTGGGGTGCCCGAGTCCCGTCTCGTTGCCACTGCTACCCCGGAAGGCAACTCCTTGCCGGTGGCTGAAAGCACTGCCAGCAGTTGCCCTCTCTGGGCAGTGGGCTGCAGCTGGTCCAGGCTTGTGCAGAAGACAGGCTTCCCACGCTGCCTCTCGACTCGTGGTAGAGCAAGAATGCATCAGCCAAAAATCTTGCCTGATTTTGCCAGGAGACTGCTGGTGTCTAAAGCCGTCCACCCAAATACTCATTTGGCTGGCAGTCAGCAAAATGCAATGCCGGTTAATCTTAGGAATGGTTTTTCTTTTTTATTCTTTTTTTTTTTTTCTTTTTTCTTTTTTTCCCCCTGAAGTGGGTCAATAAATCTCTTCCCAGATTCCTGGTTCTCTGCTGGTGGAGGGGCTTGTTGCTTCCCCAGGGACGGGATTCCTTACAGGAATTGGGCCTCCCACATTAGTAGTCTCAGTTTTGGTCATGTTTTTCTATTTTTTGTGTTCACAGTATTTTGTGTGTGCGCGCGTGTTGTAGTTTTGGCAGCTTTATTTGGCTGCATTATCAAGTGACGAAATAATCCTCTTTTACCCCAGGGGATATGATTTGGTTTGGTTTTTTTCTTTCTTTCTTTTTTTTTTTTTTTTTTTTTTTTTTTTTTTTTTAACTTGATAAATCCTGCTTGTAAATAGCTGGAGCTAAAACCTGGGGCTGAGAGCAAATGAGAACCAGGGCTGTAGAGTGATATGGAGCTGGTGGAGTATTTTACTGACCTCACAGGCTGATCTACTTGAGACTTGGAGATTTTCAGTGCAAGGCTGAGATGCCGCAGCACCTCCAATGGCAGCGACGGACTTGCCCCTTCACACGGTCTCCCCAGCACCTCCCATTGCCAGGTACCACCGGGGAACAGGACGTGTCCCGAGTGGGATGCGTTCCGAGTGATATGGAGCTGGTGGAGTATTTTACTGACCTCACAGGCTGATCTACTTGAGACTTGGAGATTTTCAGTGCAAGGCTGAGATGCCGCAGCACCTCCAATGGCAGCGACGGACTTGCCCCTTCACACGGTCTCCCCAGCACCTCCCATTGCCAGGTACCACCGGGGAACAGGACGTGTCCCGAGTGGGATGCGTTCCCTTCCCCTAGATCATTTCCTAGGACGCCCGAGCCGCTTGCCCAGGGTCCCATTTCCCTGCTGACTCTGGAGAAGCAGTATCTGCATCCCAGGGCTTTGTGACAGCCTCTAACCTCCCGCCCTCCCTCGTTAAGTATCATATTGTATAGTAGCTTTCAGACCATACAGTATTCATTGGGTTATTCCTCTTATTATCAAGTAGCTGGAATTGTGAAGGTCGGAGTAGTTAGATCTTTAGCTTTTATTCCTTTTTTTTGTATTACTATCCATGTGTATAAATTATTGATCATGTTGCTGGCTTTTATAAACTTTAAGCAAGGGGGGAAACCCTTCCTAACCCTTTGCAAATGGTAATGAAGCACTGTTTTTAAATAAAAGAGAGAAACACCAGTCTGCTGGCTCCCGTGTGTTGTCTGTTTTTCAGTGCACCTGGATGAATTCCGTTGGTGCATCTCCCTGGCAGATAAAATGCAAAGAAGGGAAGCTGGTTTGAAGAATGAGCCGGGAGGTGGGATCTTCTTAACAGTGATAAAGGGCGAAGCCTTGGCAAATCACGCTGGCAAAATCCCAGCCCTGTCTGTTCATACACCGAGCTCTCCGCAACCCTACGCCTTTCCCTGCCATCCTTTCCCATTGCTGCTCATTAGTAGAAAAGAGCCATTTGTTTGGTGTTTCATAGAGAGCCTGTTCTGTTTTTTTTTTTTTTTTCTTCTCTCCAAGCCTAATCTGTGTTTGAACCTGTTAGCACGGAAGGAGAGACAACCATTTCAAATTATGGTATCAGCATTTTCTTTAATGCGTGTGTAGCCAACCTCCTGCTGTCTGTGTTAGCACAGGTTTAATAGTTAACACACACAACTGGAAGCCGGTGTTCCTGCGCTCAGCATAAATTTCCTCTGGGAGTTTGGACATGTCTTTTAATCACTGCTCCTGTTGTCCTGCCTATAAAAGGAGTATCACTGCAGACAAGCAGAAATTCATTCATATTCTATGAAGTGCTTAGAGATCCTCAAGTGAAAGATATCATGCAAATATATATCCATATAATCAGATGCCTTTTCTGCTGAAACGATCCTAAAAATAACAACTAATAAATCCCTGTGGCCAATTTGCAAGTGATTGCGGAAACTGATAACTGAGCAAAATGATACAGCGAAATATGCCTAGTACAGTTGAGGCCAGCGCAGGATTTTCATGTTGCTTCTGGAAATGCAAAGTACCAGAAACAAAAAAGGGGTGGGATAAGGTGTGTCCCTGGATGGCGGGATTGTCGATAATGAGGCAGGAAGGCGCGTGAGCTCCTTTAGCATTCCTCCCCAGTATTTACCAAGGAGCTGCAATGTGTTCCTGTCAGATGATCCCTGTTTGATTCTAACAATACCTTGAGAGGATGTTCAACAGTAACTGCTAAAATTAGATGCCTGGAAGTCAGGGCTGAATAACTGTTGTGGAAGAGCTGGTTAAAGGACTTGGGATCGGTGAGGCTGGGAGAGGTCTTGAAAGGAAGCTCCGCTGCGCTGGGAGAAAGGTAGTACAGAGGCATGCTTCCAAAGTGAAGCAAAGAATGCTCTAGGTCTTCCAGCCTACCTTCATTTCAAGGCAAAGCTATAAAATGGCTGATCCTGGAATTCACTAATAAGTCATTAAAAGTATTGTAATATTATTGCATTGCCCAACAGGGGTTTATCAAAAGCTCGTCAAAGGAAGCTGATATAGGTTCTTCAAATGGACTGCAAGTTGCCTAAGGAAACAAATGCTTTTGATTTAATACATTCCCCTTCTATAAGCTGTAAATAGTTGCAATAAATAATAGTAGAATCATGTGAGTCAGTCCAAGATGATTGCAAGCCAGCGCACATTTCGGCGTGTGTAGGTAGCATCCACTGAGAGTGAGGGTTCCACTGTCACGTCAGGAAGTAGCTTGGAAGAGGTTTTGGTAACAACCTGGACGTGGGCTCTGGGCCACGGGGCTTGGTGCCAGCCCGAGGTCCACGAGCACGGTCGCTGAGCGCGAATCCCTGCGCCACGCGGCTGTGTTTGGCAGCTGTGTGCTGGGGATTTAGTCAGTAAATGATAACGTTTGCTGGAAAGTGGTGTTTGGATCACATTGAAATAATTTATGAATTCAAACTGAATTTGCAGGAGAGCTCAAGGGCGAGGCTAGTGTGACTGCTGAGGCTGTGTCTTAGTCTGGCACTGACAAGCTGCGTCAGGGGATTTGAACCCGAAAGCCCAAAAAGAAGCCCTGATCCCTGTGCCGGTGGCAGGGCTGACCTGTTCTTGGGGTTGTGCCGCTAGCCTGCTGTAGACTTATACTGGCTCAGGGATGGTAGCCAGGGATGGTAGCCTGAGCATCCCTCCGGTAGGAGAGCTTAGCAGCTGGTGTGGGAGGGAGGGTTATTTGCATGCTTCCTTTCTGTCTTTATACAAAAGCTACAAAAAAATAGAGTAATTCGGGTTGGAAGAGATGTGTGGAGGTCATCTAGTCCCATAACTTGCTCAAAGGTCAGTCAAGTTCATGTGACTAGCATCTTCAGCACAAGCTTGGAGGTGGAATGCATTCTGGAGTGCCAATAACTTGATCACATCCTGGGAGGCGAGAGGTTATCCCTGGTCTCCTGTGCTTGCCCGCAGCCCTGTTTCCTTCCCTGCGCGGGCCGGGGTTGGTTGTCATGTGTGGCTGTTTCACTGGGGTGTGGAGAAGAAAAACCGTAATCCACTTAACTTTGATTCAGACAAGATGTGTTTTTTTGTGGTTGCTCTCGGTTTGCCTGAAGCGTGATCATTTTTGGCATAGCGTGTCCGGCGCTGGCTCCTGTGGCTCCGGCTGAGCTGGGAGTGGTTCAGCGAAGAGTTTGCAGCGTGGTTCGAGGGCTGGGGCTGCCGCGGGGGGAGAGAGGGGAAACGGGGAAACGACTGCAAGCGCTCATCTGTTTATTCATCAAGAAGAAGGGCGATTAATTGCTTTCTAGAAGCACCTTGCAAGGAACAAAGATCGGACTTTTCTAGGGCTTTCCTACCTGGCAGCGTTATAACACACGCCAGCACTTGGGAGGTGAAGCCAGGCAACTCCAGCCTTACCTGTGGGTTGAGGGGCTTGCTGCAATTAGTTATTTCTGAAGCATTTCTAAGTATCAAATACTAATCCAGGAGCTTCCAGTGCCTTGCACTGGCCAGCCCTATTGCTAACCTCATTGGGGATGAACGTCTACTGCCCTGGGTGCTCTCTATTCACCCTGGGCTCACACCAACCCCTCGGCGACGGCCCAAACCTGTAACCCTTGGGTGCTGCTCCCCTTCCCTCAGCTGGCTGATGAAGACAACCCCACAAACAAAGTCCTCATCCACGGGGCCGGCCTGAGTGTGCTGCGACCAGCGTGCCCTCATCTCTTCTCCTGCAGCAGAGGTGAAGGCTCCTGGCCTGTGTGAGCCCTATGACTGGGGAAGCAAAGAGGGTACTGAAGTCAAAACCAGAGGATTTTTGTGTCTGGGAAGAGGCAGACTACTTCTGCAGGTCTCCAAAGGTGGAGCAGGAACCGTTTGGCTCCTGAGGTGCCGTGGCCACCAGCCCATGACCAGACTCTAGGAGTCAGCCTTCTCGCTCGGAGAAGCCTCGCCGCGTTTGGCTCCTTTCCCGCTGCAGCGCGCCGATGCCGGGAGCCCCTGCGCTCGCTGGGGAGGGGATGTGCAGAGCCGGCAGTGGGAGCAGCTGTCCCAGTTTGCGGAAACTTTCTTGCCTTTTTAAGGACATGCTGAGTGCTGTGCTCTAACTTTAGCACAAAGGTATGGATGGGTATAAATATATCTGCTCTGGGTGCCTGTCTTGTTCTTGCATGTGTAAACACTGAGCTCTGTCCCAGCTCCTTTTGATGATAGATTTCCTCATCTTTTGAATCACAAATCACCTTTTTGTGTGTCAGGAGGAAGCGTCAAAGCCCAAAGTCACTTTGCTTTTTATAGCACCAGTGCTCTCCAGCTGAACTCCGCTCAGAAATCACGGATTTCGCGGAGCTCTGCAACAACAGCAGATCTGGCGTGTTTACAGTTTTATTGAAATAGCCTTTGCGCTCATCTGGAGCCCTCCTGCTGCAGAGCACTGCAGTCCTCTCTTATTTTTGCAAGGAAGTCACCCGTCCTCCCCGGCGGGAGGCTGGGAAACCTCGCTTTGCATTCAAAACACCGGGGCTTTTCTTTTTCAGTCAGTGCACCCCAGTTCTGCCGCCTCTGCTCCAGGAGAAGCTGCTCTCCAGAAATAGCTCCTGCTTTTGGCCGAGCGCAGCTCGCGTGGGCGAGACACCGCTGGCTGTCCCCGCGCTTTCGCTGAGCACGGAAGCAGGTTTCCCCCGCCAGCAAAGTGTGGCTGCAGATGCCAGTGCCCTGAGCGCGGGAGGCTGGGGAGGGCTTTCTGCTCATCCTGGCACAAACTTGAGCAGGCACCGGGGTGAGCTGCCTGCTCTGCCATCCCGCTTGGCTGTGGGGCTTGGGGGGTGAGAAAGGAAAAGGGAAAATTGGCACCATCCCGTGCAAAGCTTTGCGCAGGTGGTAGGAAGCTCCATGCCTGCGTTGTGGGGGGCTGAATGAAAAAAATCGGGGGAAAATGAAAAATTCAGTGTTGGGGAGAATCTGATGGCCACTGAGCTTGCATGCTTACCTTGGAGGGTGAGAGTTGAGCTGGCTACAGGGCTGTGACCCCGGGATAACACTCATTTCTCCTTCGTGGACCGGGGATGGGGTTTGTGGTGCAGGAGCACATCTGACCCACCCTTGCTTGCATTAATGCTATGGCACAACTGGTACTGAGCTGAGAGCCGGTGCAGCCAGAGGTCCGGAGAGATGAGTCTAACACACTCCAGGGTCAAACTGGGTGCAACTCAGCCCTTAAGCAACAGAGATGACAGCCAGTACTGAAGCTGACTCATCTCTGGTTAAGATCCAGGTCCTGCTGTGGTTGAGAGAGTTGTTAGCTCTGGGGGGAGGCTAGGCAGAGCCCGGCTCGGCAATTCAGGTCGCTGGGTGGCTGTGCAAAACACCTCTTCAGCCATGGGCTCTCAAATAGCTTTGACTTGAAAGGAGCAAATACCTGGACTAACCGCAGGGCTGAGTCAAACGTGCCATTCCCACAGGCTTGTTAATGGCATTAAATACCTCTTGCAATACCGAGTCAGGACCTGTCAACACCAGCACAAGTAAGTACCAGGGGCCTTTCTGCTGAACGCCATGAATGCTGGTGCGTCGCCGGTCCCCACTGTCATCGGCGAGCTGTGGGGCGGAGTGAAACAATTCCTCACTGTCAGCCAGCGTCCTCACACCAAAACTGGGCAAAAAACCTGCATGTAGAGCTAAGGGATCTTGCTCCGGTTGTCCCTCTGGGGAGCTGCGTGGGGGAGGCAG